CTTTCTCCCTCTGACTTATTTCGCTTAGCATAATACCCTCAAGGGACCCTCAAGGTCCATCCATGTTGTCATAAATGGCAAGATTGCATTCTTTTTTATGGCTGAGTAGTATTCCATTGTGCATATATACCACATCTTCTTTATCCATTTGTCCCTTGATGGGCACCTAGGTTGCTTCCAAGTCTTGGCTATGTGAATAAGGCTGCAATGAACATAGGGGTGCACGTATCTTTACACATTTGTGTTTTCATGTTCTTTGGATAAATGTCCAGCTGTGGAATAGGCAGATTTTGTGGTATTTCTCTTCTTAACTTTTTGAGGAATCTCAATACTGTTTTCCATAGTGGCTGCACCAGTTTGTACTCCCACCAGCAGTGTATGAGAGTTCTCTTTTCTCCACATCCTCTCCAACACTTGCTATTTCCTGTCTTGTCAATTATAGCCATTCTGATGGGTGTGAGGTGATTATCTCATTGTAGTTTTGATTTGCATTTCCCTAATAATTAGTGATGTTGAACATCTTTTCATGTGTCTGTTGACCATCTGTATATCTTCTTTGGAAACAGGTCTGTTCAGATCTTTTACCCATTTTTAAACTGGGTTGTTAGTTTTTTTGTTGGTGAGATGTATGAGCTCTTTATATGTTTTGGATATTAGCCCCTTGTCAGATATATGATGTGCAAATATTTTCTCCCATTTGGTAGGTTGCCTTTGCATTAGATAAAACAGCCACTTCTCCCAGTCTTGAAGGAATGACCTCCTGTAGGAGAAAACCTTTTCAACCCTGCCCTAGTTCTTTGTTATCTCTCAAACGCTTGTGATTCTCCAAGTTTCCTATTTTATTTTCAGCAGCTCTTAGTAGTTGAAGGTATGCCAAGGCCTGTCAGTTTCCCAAAGGGGAGGATCTTGGTTAAGACCTAGATTCAGGCTGATTGGAAGCCAGACCTTCAGGCAGCAGCTTTAAAGTATGTGAAAATATATACAGTTCTGTGGGACTACTGGCCACTGGCCATCAAAGCCACTGTTCTAGAGGTATCCTGTGTGTGGCAGTCATAGAAACTGGGATGTCAGATGAGTGTACAAGTTCCTTTTCAGGAGCTATCAGTGGCCTGGAGCCAGGCAGAGGGATAGCAGAACCATGGCATCCACTGGCCTCCACCCTAGAGTGCACCTCAGGAGTCCCCTAGATGTGTGCCAAACCAGAATCCTGCCCCTCAGGTCCGTTTTCCAGGACAAGCAAATAGGCCTCTTTTGCAGAAAGACTGGGGGTGAGTTTCAGTCTGCTGTCTGTGCAGTGCCCCAGGACTGGTAGCCAGCCAAGAGCTGTCTATCTTTTACAGTCCCATGGGACACAGGAATGCAAGCCCTATGGGGCACCAGAGCAAAGTAATCAAGGGGCATGCCCTCAACAGCACCCACAAAACCTGGGGCACCAGACAGGTGTACAAGCTCCTCTCTGGTTGACCCTGGTGCTGTAGAGCATGGCAGAGGGAGAGTGTGAAGATAGTGCTCGCCCTCTGAGGTCACTGGAGAGGACTACAGTGTGCCCTTACCCGGGTTTTTAATTAGAAATCTGCCTCTCAGGTCACAGCTATGAAGATCAGCTAACAGGGCTCTTTCGCAGAAAGCCTAGGCTCCTCAAACTGTTGCCTCTTGCTGTGCCCTGGGAGCAGTTGCCAGTTAATAATTCTTACTCCACTGTTCATACTGCTGTAGGGTCCTTGAGCATAAGCCCCACTGGCCACAAGAGCCAGGCAGTCTAGCGTTGTCCTGTGTGCGGCAGCTGCAAAAATCAGAGTACCAGAGGAGGTACAAGCTTCTGTGTGTTAGCCGGAGCCAGGCAGAGGGAGAGAGCAAAGATGGACTGTAAGTTCTGTCCCTGGAGAGTACCCCCAGAAGGCCCCTAGATATGTGTCAAATTAGATGCCTGCCCCTCAGTCCAGTGCTTTAAGATAAGCCAATAAGCCTCTTTTACGTAAAGTCTGGGAGCCTCTCATTTGGCTGCCTCTGTGCTGATCTCTGGGGTGAGTGAATTGGGGGTAAGAGCCCTTTCAGAGCTATTTCTCATTTTGCTTTAGCCTTGTGGGTTTTGTGGATGTGAGCCCCATTGATTTTCAAAGCTAGATGTTTTTGGGGCTTATCTCTCAGGTGCAGGCCTTAAATGTTGAGGTGCCCAGTGTGGGGTTCAAACCCTTCTCTCCTCAGGGAGGAGCTCCAGGTTTGGAGTTCCCTCTTGATTGTGGGCTGCCATGCCAGGGGTGGGGTTTATAGCGAGATTATGTCTCAGCTTCTCCTCCCCCCTTCAGTGTGGGTTTTTTTTCTCATTTGCTGGATGTGTAGGAGTCGCTCAGCTAGTTTTTAGCTTTTTTCCAGAGGAAATTGTTCCATATGTAGCTGCAGATTTTGTGTGTTCGTGGGAAAAGGTGTGTTCAGGATCTTCCCTCATGGCAATCTTGAACTGGAACTCTCTTTTGTTATTATTTTAATATAAGCAGCCAAAATTCTTTAAAGAAATTAAAAATATATGTATAAAATAGGAATGATGTTTTTAAAGATCATTTATATTTTCTGACTTATTTACTCTTTATTTACTCCTTTGTGCAGAACCAGGAGTCCGGGTGATATATACACACACACACACATTTATATACATTTCTTATAGTGCAGGACTGCTGGAGACCAGCTTCTACTTCTTCACTTTATAACTTGGATCTGGGATAACTTACCTACGCCTTGCCTCCTATTTTGTCAAAGGGAATGTTTATTTTTAAATCTTAAGCTTTCTGGTGAATCATAATTTCCTGTTTTGATTAAATCAGTGAGTTAATATCAAGTTGCTCCTCCAGATTTCTCCTTTTAAAAAACATACGTTCATTTAAAAAAAATATGTTCTGAGTATTATTGCTGTATAACAAAAACCCTGAAAATTTAGTGGTTTATAAAACTATAACCTTTAATTTTCCGCATGATCTGGGGTGTTAGGAATTTGGGAAGGCAGCTCTTGGTCAGGGGGTCTCACGTACAGTTTTGGTCAGATGTCACCCGGGGCTGCAGGCATCTGAAAGCTCCACTGGGCTGGGCATCTACAGTAGCTCACTCGCATGGGTGGGAGTGGATGCTGGCTTTCTTGGGAGCTCCGCTGAACCTGTCCCCCCAAGCACTCACATGCAGCTTGTCCAGCACAGTGGCTTCCAGATAGTTGGACTTTTTACTTGGCAGCTGGTTTTCTCCAGAGCAAGTGTCCCAAGAGAATCAGGCAGAAACTTTCAGTCCTTTAAAGGGCTTTTCAGACCTATCCTGGGAAGTCATGTAGCATCACTTGTGCTGTATTTTATTGTTTGAAGCCGTTACAAGCCTGCCCAGATTCAGGGGAGTTGACACACACCCCATCATGGGATGAATGTCAAAGAACTCATGGGCAATATTTTTAAACTGCCTCATTGCTATTGAAGTATTCTTTAAATATAATAAAATGCATAGATTTTAAGTGTTGAGTTCGATGAATTTTGACAATTGCACCCACGACCTGAAGTAAGGTATAGAACATTTTTCACTCTATAAGGTTGCCTTGTACCCCTTTCAAGTCAATCCTCAACTCCGACCGCCCTCCCCCAATAGAGGCAACCGCTGTCTGACTCCCAGTACCATAGATTAGTTCCTCCTGTTCTGTGAAGTCATATAAATGGAATTATATACTATATTGCATGTGTGTGTGGATCTGGATTCTTTCACTCAACATAAGGCTTTGAGATTCATCCATATTATTACATGTATCAGTTATTTTTTTATTGCTGAGTCATATTTCATTATATGAACATACCACAATTTATTACCTTACCTTTTGTTGGACATTTATTTCCAGTTTATGACTATTACGAATGAGGATGATATGAACATTCTTGTATGCATCTTTAAATGTTATCAGGGTATCTTTGGGAGCAATTCTGTATTATTACTCAAACCCATAGTGTTTCTAAAGTGTTTCCATGCCCAAAGACCTTTTATAAAATTTACCTCTCTAGATGATAAAGATTTGCTATCAAGCTTTTGGCATTAAGGAACCTACAGCTTACAGGGAAAGAATGGAATGGTAGCTTATTAAGAAAATCACACATCTACAACATTCATCATTTTAATTACATAAATGCTCAGCATGAAAATTTAGAGGTGGCTAAGTTAAGAAAAATATGGAAATTCCCCCTTAAAACCAACTTTTCCTCTCCAATATTCTTCAAATTTCATCCACTAGAGGTAAAAAAAAATTAGGTTATCCTTCCAAATTTCTTCATGTGTGTGTGTGTAGGAGGAAGAGGATAGAATTGTTAGATGACTGGAACTTCGTTATTGACTACAAATCTGGGCTCAGTAATAAGGACACTTATGTCCTTTCTAGGTGACTCCAACCCTGAGATATTGCTACTATCACCAAAAAGGGAGTGCAAGTCACTGTGTCTCCCAGGGAGTAGGAGTCCATTTAATAGAGGACATGATAATAGGCTTAGGATTCTCAAAAATATCGCACACATGGTTGTCTGCTCTTGGGCTATAGGCAAATTCTCTCTATCCAGTTAGGAGTGGAGGACTGAAGTAAAACACACTGCACAGACTCCACACCTCTGCAGGCTTAGAAAGGAACTTACTGTTGTAAGGAAAGGCTAGGGACCCAGCTATGGACGTGGGTGATTTGTTAGAATAGGTCATTAGGGGGTATCATCTAGGTAATACAATGTTCAATAAAAGGATTATTAAAGTAGTTAGATTCACCTCATTAATTCTGCCCAGTGGTCTTGCATGCAAAAGAAGATTAATTTGAATACGCAGAGAAGAAAAGAACCTTGGGATTGATAAGGGCCTGATTTTTTTAAGGAGGCTGGTGGTGTCAACTATAAATTTAAAATCTGTATCTGCTACATACAATCTCCAGTTACGCTCTAGATTAATGGAGATACCTTGGGAAGTTAGGTCAAAATAAACTTTCAGAAATTATGAAACATACGTGATAATGATAATAAACGACGTTTATTTTTCATACTCATTTGGGGTAAAGAGGAAAAGTCAGTTTGCCCTAACGAATGATGGTCTTTCTGAAAGAGTCTCCATTCATTCCACAGAATTGGATAGGTTGCTTGACCTCAGAGGATGATGTACTCTTAATCCGTAAAGAGAACTTCCTTTGAAGAGTGGTCACAGGGTGAGCCTTTGTGAGCAGCTTCGCTGGTGCACAGCCAGACTCCCTCTCTGGGTGAAGCTTTTCCCACATTGGCCACACAGATAGGGTGTCTCTCCTGTGTGGATTTTGCCATGCAGGAGACAATTCCCCCTGGTGTGGAAACTCTTCCTGCATTGCGCGCAGGCATAGGGTTTCAGGCCTGTGTGGACTCTGATGTGAACAATTAAGCTGCCTTTCTGACTGAAGGCTTTTCCACACTGGTCACATCTATAGGGCTTCTCACCACTGTGAACTCTTCTATGAACAGCAAGGTTACTTTGATTCCTGAAGCTTCTCTGACAAATGGCACACTCATAGGGTTTCTGTCCAGTGTGGAGTCTTTCATGAACGGCCAGACTACCTCGTTGACTAAAGCTTTTCCCACACTCCTTGCACTGATAGGGCTTCTCTCCTGTGTGTATTCGCTGATGTGTAACAAGATTGCCTTTGGCCCTGAAGCTTTTTCCACAGTGGGTACACTCAAAGGGCTTTTGACCAGTGTGGATTCTCTCATGTAATGTTAGACTACCCTTCTGCCTGAAGGATTTTCCACATTCCTGGCACTCGTAGACCCTCTGTCTCACTCCAGGTGAGTCTTCTGGTAGTGTCTTAGAATCTGGGGATTTTTGTTCCAGCTTCTCTTTTCTGAAAGAATTCTGGAAATCCCAGCTTGAGGATCCTGTGGCATCAGAGTGATCATATTTTTGGTGGGCTTCTGTCATCACATCTGGCAAAATGAGAGGGAAGTCATGTAAGATGCACCAATATGCTGAGTGAGAAGAATAGGGAAAAAAGAAACAATGCTTTGAGCGCTTATTATGTGCCAGACAATATACCATGAACTTTGCATAGATAATTTAATCCTGGAAACAATCCTGTAAGATTGCTACAGATAAGGAAATGAGAGCATAGGGCGGTTGTCAAAGATCACGCAGCTAGGTAAGCACAGAGTTGGGATTCAAATGTGGGCATGCTGCACAGCAGTGTACTGCCTCTAAATTTAGTTTAATTTAGCCTACCATGTAATCTTGTGAGGTAGACATGATTATCTCTGTTTGCTCAGAAAAATTAAGAAAATTATACAGGATCATATAGAGGCCCATACTCAAGTTTTACCTAACTCCAAAATAGGTATGGACCCAAGCTGTGTAGGGCCTAAGCTTTAAAATTTTGGAGGGACTCCATCAAGAAAAAGTATAAAAGTAGGTACAGGGCTTTGAAGAGACCAATGTGAGAAAGGGGTCCTAGAACTTAAGTTTCACTAGCTCCATGAGAAATCCACCTCTGCTCCAGTCTGCTCTCCTGACAGTGGAGTAAGCTCCATGATGTCAGGAAATATGCAGCAGAATCCTTGGTACTTTGCATCTATTATCTCTAGTCCCTGCAACCCTGCAACATAGAGCTTATTGTTCTATTTTGCAGATAAGCCTGGTGCTCAAGGAAGTTAAATAACTTGTCTGATACCACAGATCGAGCCAGGGCAATTATAGAATCTGATCCAAGGAATTTTCCCCTTTAAAACCCATGTTATTTCAGTTCACTGAGCTATGGTGGAATTGAAATCAGTTTTGGTCGGGAAGTTAAACACTTTCTGTGCAGATATTGGTAGTATTTTTCCAATATTGCCCTGCATCTGAGCCTCCTACTGCACCACTCATCACTTCACCAGTTTTCTTGGAGTCATCCTTGGGAGATTTTGTCCTTGTTCCCCTGCCTTACCCTTCGCCATCTGACTGCACTGAGATTTAAAGCCGCTCATTTATTCTCTCAGAGACTACCTCCATGTCAGGACTGTTCTCCTGCTCTGTTTCTACTGCTATTTCTAACTCCAGCTCGCAGGCTTTCTCTGTAACCCCAGGAATGCTGAGCTCCACCACAGGAATGTCCCCTCTGCTTCCTCAGCCTGCCTACCAGTGCTGGGGACAGGGCCAGGGAATATGGTGAGCCGAGAGCATCCCAGCAATCAACCGACTCACTCACTGAAAAATGCTACATTCTGGGCATATCTTCCATGACAGTCCAGCAGGGTAGCTGCTGGAAATCCAAACATGTCCACTCCTGCTGTATGACCTTAATCACCACCTCTTTATATGATTCTTCCATGGGCTGTTCTTGAGCACCTGAGGAGGAAAAAACAAACACACACAAACAAAACAGCACAACAAAAATAAACAGGAAAGGGCAGGAGAATTGACAAGTGAGAAGGATTAAAGTTAACAGGAGCTCCAGTTTGGGGTATGAGAAAATGGAGGAAATCTGGATTGCCTGATGTAATGTTAGTCTCCTATAATGTAACTATAAAATGGGCTGAAAGGTACCATGACCACACACAGATGAGTCCAGGAGGAAGCAGGAGGTGGGAAAGCAGAGAACACAAAGAGTAAAGACACATCTCCTTCTGCCAACCCCAAGATAATGGCCGCTCCTTTTGTACCTTAGCCTTGGCATGTGAGTGAACCTTCCACTTCCTTCCCCCACCTAAGCACCTGCTATTTTGTCCTCCAAGCCTCCAAAGGAATTCAGATTCTAAAAAACCCACGTTTCAGGCTCCATGATTAGTTCCACGATGGAAATGGCTCCAGCTCTCCTCTCCAGTTCCCCCCTAGGTTATAAGGACAGACAAGAGATTTCCTATGTTACCTTTTAGCAATTCTGAGGAGGCTCCAGATCCAGACCCACCCCCTCCTACTCTTCAAGATACAATACAAGTTCTGAGGAACTGTAAATACTTGTCAATTCTTGGAAAAGGAAGACCTACTTCAGACTCCAAAACCAAGCCCCAGGCACATGAACTAGGGTAAATAACTTGCCCAAATTCTCAGAGCCAGTAAGGAGTCAAGGTGTATCAAAGGTTCAACCGAGACTTTCTGGATCCAAAGTCTGTGCCCTTACACTAGTCAATTCTCTGGTTCCTCATCACTAAAGAGCTGTTAGAATTCTTAGGAAATGGAACAGAATGGGACAGGGCTTGACCAGACTTTACTACTCTTCCAGATCCTAGGAATCCTCTTGCTCCATGTTATCTTTTTCTACTGTTTTTTTTAAAGACTATTCTCTCCTTACTTCAGGACCCTATTTACTGAATTCTTACACTTTACACAGTGGTTCAATGTATAATCCCTCTACTATGTCCCATCAAAATGCTGGCCTCCTGATTTAATGAAATAGCAATGTGATGCTACAATTCTTTGTTTTGTTAACCTAAGCACCTGGTCTTCCTGACAATTTCACATTCTGCTACATGCTGTGATGACTGGAGAGGCATTTTAAACTCTTATTTGGAGAACTCAGCTCCACTTTGGAGTACAAGCTACACAGGAATCCTCTATCTGAGTCCCTGGACACTATGGTACGTTCATTTGGAAGCTCAAGGTGTTACTGCTCAACAACTGCACATCCACCAAAAGCCGGGGGAAAGTACGTGGCACCTGCTGCCTGAGGTTGGACTCGGTCCTTGGGTGGTCCAGCAGATAGAGTTTGGTCAAACAAACGGGTCAAATTGGCAGCTCTGCCTCTCCACATGCTGTGAGATCTTCAGCAACGAGCAACTCAGCTGCGTCTCAGGAATCTCCCTTATTAATAAAGGGAAATTGTCTTATTTTTCTCCCTAGATCACAAGTCTGGGGAATTAATTTCCTGAAGATTTTGGAGAAAGTGGCTTCATAATAGAAAATGTGGCTTTTCCTAACAGAAAGACTCTTTATTCTTTGGGAAAGCTCAGAAGCAGGCCATGAGAGACCTGGATTCTCACCTCACTCCTGCTCCCTATGACCTCGGGCAAGTAACCAAATAGCCCTGACTCTCTTTCCTCACTAAATAGGTTAAAAACACTCATGTCAGGTGGCTCCTGGGAGAATAAAAGACTCAAATGTGAAGGGTCTCTGACATGACCTACAGATTTAAGGCCTAAAGCTGAGAGTCCTCAGGAGAGGACCAGAAGAGGGGGTAATTTTGCTGTCTTGGGAACTCTTGGGAACAGTTTCAGGGTTAGGAGATTTTGGGTAAGAGTGGTTATTTTCTCCACAGCTGATCCACTTCGTCCTTTCTCCCATTCTCCACCCAGAGGAGTCTGTCCTCTCGCCCGGTCACCCTCCCTGGAGAGACCGTCCTTTCCCCTGTCCATCTTCTGAAACCCTCACCGGAGCCGGGGCACACCTGCCTGCGGCTCCCCCTCCCGTGTCTCCAGGATGCGGGGTCTTCACCCACGCCCGTCGGAGGGGCCCTGCTGTTCCGGGCAGACTCCCTCTCCTGCCTCAGGCACCCCCAAGCCCCCCGTGCGTGCTGGACCTCAGCACCCCGCGCTCCGCTCGAGCCGGACCCTTCTCTGCGGGCCGCAGACCTCTCCCCTCGGGGCGGGCCTCCCTCGTTGCCCAGGCCGGCGTGGCCTGCTCAGTGCCGCGGGGGCCCTGGAGGGCCCGGGCGCAGCGGCCTACCGGCTCGGCCCCGCCTCGCCCGGGCGCAAGGACCCGGCCGGCGGCCACACTCACCGCAGCGGCGCGCGCCCGCAGACAGACAAAGGCCCGCGCTGAGCCCGCAGCAGCGCTGGCGCGAGCGGACCAGACTACAACTCCCAGGAGGCTCCGCGCGAGCCCGTCCTTCGGGCCCTGGGCCTCAGCAGCCCCGACTTCTCGGAGCACTGTGGGAAACGTAGTTCGGTGGCGCGACCTGGTCCTTGGGCTCCGCGGGTCCGGGCGGGCGCTGGGTCTCAGACCGCCCCGCTTTGACCTGGAGCCCGAGGACCCCACTTGTCCCCGGACGTAGAACCAGGATGGAGGGGCCATTGGGCCTCTCAGATTAGCGAGACGTGGAGTGGCAGCCTCGTGAAGCCGCCTGCTGAGCCAGGAAATCGGGAATCCAGGGCTCTTGCAGGGTTTCATGGAAAGAAAACAGAGCCTTGGGGAGAAATCAGTGACAAAGCTTTGGGTGCTTAGGGGCTATGTGTCGAGCCGCTGCATGAGCAAAGACCCGGTGTTCTATAATTAGGTCTCTGAAGCAAGGAGCAAATCCTTCAAGCAGAGACTGTGGGAAAGGGGAATTTGGAACACCTCAGGAGAAGTTCAAGGGCTGGGAGGAGTGTGCTTCGGTCTGGTAGACAGCTATTCCCTCCGATCCCTTTGGGTCGGAATTCACCCTGGAAATAACGGGTAAGAGAGCAGGCTATGGAGTTGTCTTAAATTTGCATGTTGGCTCCACTACTGACTGGCTGTGGGACTCTGGAAGGTCTTCTTATCTGGTGGGGAGCCCAGGATAGGGTCGGGTGACAGCGAAGGGGGCCTGGATTCTTGGGAGGGCCAGGGTATAGGCCAGGAGACCCCCTTATCCTATTCCTTCAGAGCAAAGGCAGGTATGTGATTGAACCCAGAAAAAAATTGTTCTGCATCTACCCTATGAATTATGGAGAGAAAACAGTATTTTCTAGGGTAACAAATAGGATTTTTCTTCTTCTTCTCCTTCTCTTTCTTTTTTTGGTGAGGAAGATTGGCCCTGAGCTAACATCTGTTGCTAATCTTCCTCTTTTTGCTTGAGGAAGGTTGTGCCTGAGCTAAAATCCGTGCTAGTCTTCCTCTGTTTTGTATGCAGGATGCCTCCACAGCATGGCTTGATGAGTGGTGTGTAGGTGCATGTCTGGGATCCAAAACCCTGAACCCTGGGCCACGGAAGCAGAGCACGTGAGCTTAACTAGTATGCCACAGGGTGGTCCCAGGTTTTTGTTCTTAACCGAAGTTGTGATTGAAGCGTTGAGAAATTGCAAGCCCTGAAGATTACTCAGCACATGGGGCAAGAGCTCTTTGTCATGAGGCTTCTCTCAAAAGCCACACAAACACAGGCAGTCAAGTCCTTGGCCCTGTTATGTAATACTGGGAGGAGGCAAGTTTGCATTTGTGAGGTAAAACCTCTCCAAAATGCCTTAAACCTCCTTCAGACTCACTTCTAGGATCCTGGAATTAAAGTGCCTGCTGGCTGAGGCAGCTTTATCTGGGGCTTCCTCCCCCTCGGAATCACCTTTGCTTTCCTTCATCCTGGAGCTCTCCTGCCCCGTGGGCTTCTCTCCAGGTTCCCTGCTCCAGAGTTCCTGCTTGGGGGCTGCCTATCTGACTGAATAAAGGGCTTCATAAGGAACGTTTCCTCGTGCTTGTCCTTGTCCTCGACCTAAAAGTCACGCATCTGTTAAACAATACAAAACAAAATTAATTTCACACAGTATACATAAGTAATAAGTTGATTCGTAAATCTTAGTTCTTACTACTACTAGTAACCCATCGTTAAGCTCATTCAACATATATGTGCTAAGCCCATTTTAAGTGTCAGGTACTCTCCTGGGTATTGGGGACACAAATGTGAACAAGACACACTCCCTTTTCCTAGGATGGAAGCTGACACTCTAGTTGACTGACTCACGGGGAAGTCCCTGAGTGTGCAGTGGGCACTGGCCTGAAGGCCCGACTTCTGAAGAGCCTCTCAGCACGACTGCAGAGCTCCCTGTGGTGCCTCCTTCCGTCATTTGTTCCAGGGCCAGAGAGAGAAAGGGATAGGGCACCGGGGTACAGGGCACGTCACTGCTCCCTCTGTCTTTCCTTCCAGAGCATCCACAGACACTTTTATTTTTCAAAGCCCAGGCAGCACACAGCAAAGGCCAGTCCTCCTGTCTGATGGGGTGGCGCTGTGTGAGTGTCTTTGCTCCCCTCTCTCCCGAGGCTGTGTCAGTAAGGCTGTGTGTGTCACCCTCCGCCTCCCAGGACTGGGAGTCATTTCCCTGCTGATAAACAGCACCGTGCACCTAGAAGTCACTCCAGGCACATTGGTTCTGTTGAGGTCAGGATCAGCTGTGGACGTTAGGACAAGATCCACGTCCCATCATGCAAGTAGACGACAAAGCTTTGGTGGGAAAAGATGGCTGTAAAGGGAGACTGTAGTCACTTTTCTCTTATGAATCTGCATAAATTCTCTTAAGGACTCTCAGGAAAGTGGACATATTGACTGGAAAGTGGGGGAGAAAATGCTTAGGACTGGAGTTGATGAGACCCAAAGCTCTCTAGACAGACACTTACCAGTCTTTACCCAGATCTTAAATGGGGCCCAGGCCTCAGCCACCACCTGCATCTGAAGGCGCACACTCAACAGGAGGGCGGGGAGCAGGGGAGGGTGCCAGCAGGGTAGATTTGAAAAATCGCTAAAACACTATCCCCCCACTTCACGTGCATTTCAAAATGTTAGGGAAGGACAGATAATTCAATAAACGGTGTTATGACAAAAGGGCAACCACTTGGGAAAGAAAGAAAGTTAAATGTTTACCTAACTCCTAGGCCAAGACAGCCTCTAGATGGATTAAATGTAAAAGGTAAAACCCAGATCCCTAAAGGCCCAGAAGAATGTATGGATTAATATTTTTATAATCTTGGCACAGGAAAGGCTTTCCTAACCATGGTAACAAAAGCAGAAACAATGAAGAAAAAGATTGCTGGATGTGACTGCATTAAAATCTAACACCTGTGTGTCAAAACACCACTAAATAAAGTTAACGCCTGACAAGCTGGGAAAATATTAATAACTGTCATATTTAAAGATACCGTACAAATCAATGAGAAAAACAAAATATTTCAATAGAAATTTGGAAAAGGACAGGAATTCACAAAAGACAAAAACAGAATTAAAGAAAAATAACTCAGATTCTCTATTAACATTTTTAAAATGCCAATTGAAACAAAGGAAATTTTTTCCCTAACTACTGAATGGCAAAAATTGCAAACAGGACTAGGGAAATGAGTATTTTCATTTGTGTGTAAATTGAGACAATCATTCTGATTAGACATTTGGTATTATGTTATCAAAAAGTCCTAAAAATGTGTCTATTCTAGAATTTTTTGCTCATAAAGAAAAACTTGAAATAATTTTATCCCAAATGTAGAATGAAAGCTGTGGCGTCCAAGTTTCTGAAGTGAACTGCTGACTTGGAAAGGACTCCTGGTTCCTTTGAAGCGAGTGGCTGACCCAGAAGCTTCCATGAGATGGCGTGCTGCTCAAGGAACGCGCGAGGCCTTCGCTTGCTGCTGTAGTCTGAACAAAGTGTTTGGGTCTAGAGTGCTGGAGTGGGGATCTGCCCTCCTGGAAGGGTTATCAGAACAATTTCCATCATGCCTCAAGTCTGTGTTTACTGTCCCTGTCAGAAATGCAAGCCCCCTTAGTCGTCTGTTAACAGCCATGTTTTATGTCCCCAGACCTCCCCATCCACTGAACTAACCAGTCTTCCCATCCCTCCAAAACTGTCCCGCTGTGTCCATCACGGAGGCCAGTGCTTGGCAGAAAGCTGGCTTTCTCTCAGGTCCCTCCTGCTTAGGGGCCAGGCTTGAGCAGCTGGACCCACCAGAAAGAAAGGGATCCGTGCTTTCGTGCAATACTCTGGAATGGTT